TCTTTTGTTGTTGTTGTTGTTGTTGTTGTTGTTGTGTGTTATCGTCGTGTTTTTTTTTTTTTTTTATTCGTCGGAACATTTTGTTCGTATATAATTTTGATTTTATTCGTAATAGTGAATTCGATCGAATTTTATGATTTTTCGATAAAAAAAGAATTCTTAAAAAAATTCGATCTTTTCTGGTTTTTATCCCCCTATATGGTATTTCGTTTAATAGAAATTCGAACAATGTTGGGAGAAAAGTCGATTGAAATAATTATTATTTTATAAAAAATATCGTTATACACAATATATTTAACTTTTCGTACGAATAAAAGTGTATCTTAAATACTTGAAAATCATTAATATTTACAATTAGTGTCACTTTAACTATCTTCTTCTTCTATCGTTATATATACATATATGTATGTATTTAGAGTTTTCCTTTTTTTAATGCGTCATCGATGCAAAAATAATAATTTGAAGGGAGGAGAGAGACTCGATGCGCGATGTCTATAGAATTTTTTTGTCGAACATAGAGAGGATGATGGGCTACGCTTTTGCTTTTTGTCGGCTCTTGAATCCACCACCGCATTATGGACCGCGAGTTTAAAGGTAAACGAGTTTCTCTTGCCTGTTCAAACGCGCCACATCATCGAAAGAGGCCCAACCTCTTATGCTGCTGCTTGGGCCTGGATTTATACCTGCATATATGTATATATAGAGATATACTACCATACATATGTCTCTCTACGTATAACTATATATATATATACATGCAGGTATATGCAACTTTGTTATATAGCGTGCTTACCTCGTGGCCTGAACTGTTCCACTACGCACCGAGGCAACAACGGGGCCTCGATATTCTGGTTACCTTCGCTTCAGCTATACCGGCTGTTACTTTAAATTTATATTAACGCGTTCCTTCCTATTAGGAGACACTCGACAATGAGTGGGGATTCGAATATTCCAAATGAAATCGGAAGTTAAAAAAAGAAACTTTAATATAATCTTTTGTTCTTATTCAATAATCTACATTCGGTTTTTTACTTTGCATTACATTACATTAATAAAAAATATATATATAGGTATTATATCCGATTAATATCAACGAAATAATTTTTGGTTATTTTTTTAACTTATCTTTTTTTTTTTTCTTCTTAATTTTCTGTCTTTTTTTGATTTTGCTATGAGAAAAGTTATATAATGTGATATCGTAAATTTTTTATATACACCTAATTATCGTTATTGTTATTTTGTCAGTCAATTTGAGAATCTACATTAATAAATATATATATATATAAATCAAATTAAGAAATATACTAAAATTACGAATCAGGTTATTTTTCTTACTAGACCAAAAAAAAAAACACTAAAAATCGATTACATTTAACCAGGAACACACCAGAGTATATATTCACTTTGGTTAAGCGTTCATTCCGGCGCGAAACTCGTTTCGAAACGCGTTATCGAGGCGAGTGAAACGAGTAGAGTGGCAACGGCGTTCTATGGTTGGCTGTAGCGCGTCTCTCGTGGTGTTCGGTTTATGGGGGGAGATATGCAGTCAGAGGCGTGAAAAAAAGGAGAATTTTGAAGAATCTTTTTTTTTAATAACAATTAAATTTGTTTTATAAAACTGATTACACAGAGTATTTAAATAATGTTTCAATTTGACTTTTACAAAATTTCAAAAAATTTTGGACAATTTTTAAAATGAAAGTATTCTATACAAAATCTTGCCAAAGCTCATAGTTTTTGAGTTATAAATTTTAGAAAATTATCATTTGCGCATTTGTTTCAGCCTTCTTTATACCCTGAAAATCTATTTACTGCTTTCGTACGCTACATATCAATTCTAGAATATCTAGACATCATACTTCAAGAAAATGCAACCAAAAAAAATCCATTTATTGAAAATTCTGACTACAGCTCTCCCCCTTAGATAGAAAATTTCTACGTAAATCGATCGAGGAAATTAAATGGTAACGAGAGCAACGTTGGTGGTGTGTCTCGTGGAAAGTGAGTGTGTGTGTGTGAGAGAGAGAAAGAGAAAGAGAAGAGTAGCTGAACGAATGAACGAAGGAACGAGAAGGAACCAATCGATATATCGCTACGATCGATAGTTGCTAATTTCGGTGTGCTTCTCTCTAAACGATGATCGAAACTATCGTAGGCCTTCTCTTTTCGATTAACGTAACGCTAATGTTAGAGAAAATTTTGAAACGAAATAGTTCTTTCATAGATATTTTGTTGTTGTCGGATTCGTTGTTATCAAAATGAAGAAAACTAAACGATCAATTTTTTGGTTACTTTCTCGAATTGAAACATTTTCGATTCGAGAAAAACGGACTCGAAAATCGATTTCCATTGGTTGGTAGCGTTCCCTTTTTAGACGGAACTTTTTCGTCTCTTTGTCCGGTTCATGAGATTGAACGAAAGTAGTATGAGAATAAGAAAGTAAGAAAGAAAGAAAGAAAGGAAGAAAGATAGATAGAGATAGAGAACTGGGCCCGAAGCAACGGGGCCTGGATATTCCGGTTCACTTAATCGTTTTCCACGGATTTTGGATCGTGGCCTTTTTGGTATGGTGGAGGGGTGCGAAGGGGAGGGGGATTACGGTCGACAAAGTTGTATGAGATTCGTTCAGAGACTCGAAAGAAGAAAAGGAGGCGGTATCCTTCGGATTCGTTACTTCCTGACCATTGATCCCCTGGTTTCATAGAAATAAAATTAAAAAAAAAAGAAAATAACCCCCCAAGAAAAAAGAATATTTTTTTTCTTTAGCATCTCTTACAAATCATCTTACAATCTTACAAATCAAAATGGCCTTGGATGGTTTGACGCCATAAAGAATCATTGGGATTTTGTTGAATCCTTCGATTCGAAATTAAATAGAAAATTATAATAATAGTCGAATATAATATAACATAAAACGATTTTATATCTAACGTTTGTATGTACAAAACTAGGTTGATATTATTACCGCTATTTACGAAATCAATTGAATGAACCTCTAGCGAGTACTACTACTATACTATAAATGTATCTCGGGTATGTCGTAGCCTTTATTATATCGAAAGCTATTGAAATCCTTTATAGGGACGACGAGTACACATACAATTATATACGTATATAAAATAAACCGTGTCCCTGTATATAAACGATAACTCGTTCTACAATCTGAAATATCGACCACGACCAACGGAGAAAAGACTAACGAAACACGTGAGTCAACATATCGTAGAAAGTGGTAATATGTATTTATATCGAATAACAAAAAATAAACAAAAAATAAAAGAAAACAAGTAGGTATGTCTCATTACTTAAACGTTAGAGAATGAGTCGAGAATTTACTACTAATTTACGATAATTTGTACTTTTGTTTTCTTTTATTTGAGGGGGGGTTTCTCTCTATAAAAATATCAGTCAAATAATATACGATAAAACGTTACACACATTTTTTTATCAAAAATTTAATAGGACATCAACGCCGTACTGAGATATGGGCACCAGTTCGAGGCAAGACACGAAATAATTGAAAAATATCGTATGTAGAATAACGATATACGTATATGTATGTATGTGTATACGTGTGTATGAATATACGTAATACTTCGTCATGAAGTATAAACTAGTTGGTAAGACAAAGACTGTACAGTGTACAGTTTACATTCGTTTTCCTCTCCTCTCTTTCACAGCACGATTTCCCTTTTTCTTCTTCTTCTTCTTCATCTTCTTCTTCATACTTATTCCATAAGTCGTAGATATAGAGCTTTTGCGGCATCATGAAAGTAGTTTTATATAGAATTGTCTATGACACGAGTAAACAAACAAACAAACAAATACTACCAAGTTGCTTATTACTTATCATTAAATAGAACGTTCATATTAAGTACACATATGCACACGCGCGCACAGAGATTTATATTTCTTACATAAGCCACTTCAATTTTTTCTTTAGCACTTTTTATATATATATATATATATATATATATATATATATATATATATATTTTTTTCTTATTTTCTTTTGAAAGTCCCCTAATGTGTAGTATGTGCTTTGCTAACATTTCTATTTCCACCGTTTTCTTTGCTTTTAACGCTTTAATCCGCTTAAATTATTTTTGTGTATTATTCTTCTTACAAATGGAGAATTTTAAGAAAAGGACAAACAAATGTTTGTTTGTTTTTTTTTAACATATCTTCTTCTTATTATTTTATTTTTTTTCCTTTTATAGTTTTGTTTTGAAAAAAATATGACGTGATGTCGTAAATTTTTTTGTTTAATATATCTACCAGTTATCATTATTGTTTTTATTTTACTAGTTTAACCGAGAATCGTAATAAATATATCGTTTATTTTTGTTCTGTGAGAACATTTTTAAAAATATATTTACGGTAACAATTGGTCGATTATTAAATGTTCCTTTTCTTAAAATTTTAATCAATATATTGGATAGAAACAAGATACGTTTATAAAAGCGAGCGAGAGAATCTGAAAATCAAAGGAGACATCAGTCAAAATGGTTGCAGAAAATAAGCCGAATCTATGGTGACTGGATTAAAACTTAATACATGCGAACTGGTCATTACAAATTTATTATTCAATGATATTTCACTTTACAACTTAACGTATATCAACTGAGTAAATAATAATAAAAAAAAAAGAAAAAAAAAAGACTGCGTTCTCTGACAACTCGAAAAGAGAGAAAAGAATCATCATTTAAAATTCAGAAGTAATATCTCGGTATAATAATTTCATTCTGCAAATGATATCTTAAAGTATTACAAATTGAGTAAAAAGATATGAAATTTTTGTCCGCTCGTAAAATGAAATTTAATTAGATATGAAAAAAAAAAAATAAATATGTCTATTATCTTCGTAACATTTTAATGAAATATTTTGACGACCAGGTCGAATGTTGTGTTATTAAAAAAGTCGCGATAGATGTATCAAATAATTTTCCCTTGTATATATCGTTATACATATCTAATCTCAAGGAATTGTCGACGTAAAGTCGCTCGAATATCTCGCCAGGTTACTAGTGAAGGACTCGTCGACTAATCAACAGCGTACCGGATACTACGAACGAACGGTTCTGGATAAAGAGCAAGAAAAGCAAACGAGTAGCAAGCAAGCTAGCAAGCTAGCAAGCTGCTAGCAAGCAAAGCAAAGCAAGCAAGAAAGCAAGCAAGAAAGCAAAGCAAAGCAAGGAATAAAGAGAAAGAGAAAGAGTACGTGGGAGATAGCAGCGAGATTATCCTCGTCGAGTTGAGCTTCTTCGCAGAGGGAAGAAGGAAAGCAAGCAAGCAAGCAAGTTATATAGGAAGAAAAGGAGGCGTGAAGAAGCAGGAAGGAGGTGGTGTAGAGGTCGCATTCGAGTCTTTGGAGGTGTCTGAGGAAGAGGAAGAGGAGGAGGATAAAGATAAAGATAAAGAAAAAGAAAAGAGACAGAATGAACGGCCCTGGGAGCCATCAGCATCGTGGGTTGGGTATCGCAGGACGTTACAGGGCCGTGGTTGGGAGTGGAGCCTCATCGGGGCCACACACGAGGCCTACGGCACCCCAACATCCTCGTGGGGGATGGCATCCCCACAACCAACATTCTCAGCATATCCAACTTGGTCAGCAATATGCCGGAAACAAGGAATATCCGTATCGACAGTGCCCGTCTCTACCGCGATATCATAATGGGTATATAACACACACTTCTGATGATGATGATGATGATGATGATGATGATGATGCATCATTGGTGCACATTTTCGGTGCATCGGCCGGCGAATTGTCCTATTGTTCCAGCTAGGATAACTCTCTCTCTCTCTTTCTCTTTTCTTCTATTTTTCTTTTCTCTTATCTACATATTTATCTACACATTATATTTTCCTTACATTTTCTTACTTTTCGTATATCGTATTCGGTGTAGCATATTTCGATCAACAGTTTAGAATATTATTTATGTGTGCGCAGTTATTTTTTTTTTTTTTTTTTTTAATTAGATAAATCTCTTAGTATCCAGTAATGTATTGTTGACTTGTCATTCATTTTTTGATAAATCCACTTTTTCCATTTTTTTTTGCATTTAAGCNCTCTCTCTCTCTCTTTCTCTTTTCTTCTATTTTTCTTTTCTCTTATCTACATATTTATCTACACATTATATTTTCCTTACATTTTCTTACTTTTCCTTTGCAACAAAAAGTAGTCGGACAGAAGTTTGGCCAAAATTCAAACAAAGGTATATTGAAACTTTTTTTTTTTTTTTTTTTTTTTTTATTTACAATTAGATAAATCTCTTAGTATCCAGTAATGTATTGTTGACTTGTCATTCATTTTTTGATAAATCCACTTTTTCCATTTTTTTTTGCATTTAAGCCAAATTTAACATATGAATTTTATTTCAATCGATTTAGCTTTCATTAGAACTCACATTTATACGATTTAATTATATTATTGCGTTTAAATTCAACGTAGATACGCGGAAAACGTGTTTTGTTGATTGAATAATAAAAATTAATTATCGTTAAAGTTTATTTTAAATTTGTATTAAATTGTAAATTTTTTGATAGACACGCGTTGTACTATATATATATATTATGTAACTACTTGTATGTATTATATTAGTTCTCCATTTGCAAGTACATATATACGTCGCATTTAGTACATACCACAATAACCACCTATCTCTCCCCCTCCTTTCTATCCCCCCCTCGTCCCTTTCGCTCGATATCCTGTGTACGTACATACATAAATACATATATACATACATACATAAGTGCATACATACATGCATACAAACATCGAGATCGATTATATCGCCGAGCGAGGAACGTCTCAACTTCGATCAATCGATTTCGATGAATTTTCGAGGACTCGTGAACTCTTTCGACGCAGTTCGAATATTTCTTAGAAAGCTGGCGACGCGACATACGATCGATGCACCACCCTTGCTGCATCTTTGATACATCGTTGGCACGTACATCCGATGCATCTCTTGGGTACGCGAACGGGCTCAGGGGTTATACGATTCGATTGTCATGGATTTTTTATTTAAAGAGAGAAAAAGAGAGAGAGAGATAGAAAACCACTGATTGTGATTTATCGGTCGATTCACCTGAGTCCCTCTGCGTTACAATATTTTCTTACTTGGTCTGAACACCTCATGATTGTTCCTTATCTTTTTATTATTATTATTATTATTATTATTATCTCGAATAACGAGTAACAAATTCGATATTTGTATCTAAAATATATATATATTTTTATATTTATAAATTATTTAATTATTATTATTTTTGTTCTTTTTAAATACACATATTAACTATTTTTCTCTTAAATCAATAGGCATAAAATGTTACGACAATATGACGTAACAGTAGTGAGATCTTAAATGTGATGATGCGTTCAGGCCAAGCAAGTGTGTATTTAATTTTCAGAGCAACCGACATTTAAGAGGTTCGACGATTCTAATAGATGATAATCAACGTGTACATAGGGGTATGCTCCTTGTGCATGCTTCTCAAGGATCATTTCTAGCACTAACTAGTCGAAGTAGCTTTCTACGATCTTGTGCTCTTGCGTTTTTTTTAGCAGTCGTTTATTCTATGACCAAATTTTTGTATTAATGCTGCACGTTTCTTAATTTTTCGTTTCATTGATCTTATCTTTCTTTCTGTCTGTCTGTCTCTCTCTCTCTCTCCTTCCCCCTCCCTCCCTCCCTCTCTCTCTTTCTTTCTTTTTTTTTTACAGTAATAAGAAATCATCGATAAAATTTTTCAAACTATGTTATACACGTTCCCGGTCGCACGTGTATTATTTGAATGTCATTATATTTTATTATTTCTTTTCATTTTCTTTTTTTTTTCTTTGTGACAAAAACAAAAATTCCTCGTAATCTTTACTTTTTCACAGTTCGTTAATTTCACTTTCAATAGATAACACACGAAACATATTCGAGGAACATTCGCGTTTTTTTTTCAAGTAGATGCACGCGAGAGAAATTCTTCTTTTTAACAACATTTTCAATTCGCGTAATAAATTTAATTACCCAAAATCGTACGCGCCTCAATCTAGCATTTTTCTTTTTGCATTGCCGATAACGAGACTACAAATCTTTTTATATATTTTTTTTTCATTTTGTGTATCAGTCAGATTGAAACGATTTTTAATTTAAAAAAAAAAAGAAAAACAAAATGAAAAAAATTCCATTTTATCAACGTAGTAGATTACTTACATTTAATTTCTAACCGATTAAAAAGTGATTATTAAAATAGCGTTATATTTGTAACATTAAATTCGTTATCAAATGTCCCATACTGCGTTTTAGTATTAGCCAGTAGTAGTCTTCAGTCTATCCAATAGAGAGTATAGTAACTTGAATTGATCGATTGTGAGATATTACCTACACTGAAACGATAGAGAACGATGTATGATGCCCTGCAGCGTAGTTGAGTACAGGGGAACAAACATTCAAATAACCCTTCGGATTTTGCGGACAGGTCAACGGACCAAGTATCAAACCCCACGAAAACGCGGTTTCCTCATTTTATTTTTCTCTTCATTTTATTTCACAATATTACTTTACGGTTGAGATTATATGTAATATTTTCTTTTGATGGTATTATATGCTTATGATATATAGGGGGTGGTTCGTTAAAATTATCTTAAATTTTTCACCAAAGTTTACGCGTTAAAGGTGTAGCTGGGGGAACCCCATCACCACACACAAAATGCGATGGCTGCTCGTTTCTAAATTCGTCAAAATTACGATCTTGTGTAAAATGAACGAAAGACGATTTCAAAAATGCCAACATTCTCACGCGCAATAGAGTACATTTTTTTTCTTTTTTTCTTATTTATTTTCTACTCCGTCATAGTGGACACGCTAGATAATATATATATATGTATAAAGATGACAACTCATGACATGTCATTCGATAGAACCGTGCATTTATATCGATTTCTTTCTTCTTCTTCATCTTCTTCTTTTAGGACTGTGTCCTGTTATCAAATAAAAATTTAAAAAAATGAATTAAGTCGAACTATTTATATATCATCGCGTCATATTTCAATAAATATTGTCTGTGTTCCGGTAAGATATTAATTGCATCCTATCAAACGAATAATAATTTTTCAATGTAAATAGGTGATAGATCAAAAAGAAATAAGAGAAAAAGATTATTTTTGTTTTAATATTATCCTTCAATATTTTTTTTCCATCATAAATTTTTTCTATCAAAGAAAACGAAAACGAATGCATTTCGTAGATCGTAACAAAACGACTGGACTTACCACTACTAATACTACTACTACTACAACTACTACTAACATGCATTCTCGACTTTAGTGCTTCGTGAGATGAAACGGAAAATGATATTAAGGGCATTATACTAAAGTTGCGTCATTTGCTCTGCTGCTGTTGCTGTTCTCTCTCTCTTTCTTTATACTCCTGACTACAACGAATGTGTACGGCATTATATAAAGTTACGAATGCAAACGTGTGTCTGTTCGTTGCTGGTTAATGGTGGTGGTGATGGTGGTAGTGGTAGATTTTCTTTCTTTCCCAGCAGAGCCGTGATGATAGACGCATAAAAAGAATTTTCACACGCGTACATAAACCTGGCGTCCGTCTTAATCACGTTTTGAAAATAATCTAAAGGTAGCGTGGGCGGGGGGTAGAGGAGGTACTCTTTTTGATCGTTTAATCGAACGTATATATTAATATCTCATTGAAAATTGGCCAATGCCAATGTTTGTGGGTCGTTCATAAACGATACTCGTATCTATAAAACGGACTTTAACGTTCAATGTTAATGACAATATTTCTTCTGATCGCGTAAAAGTTTGCCAAGATTAAATGATGAATTGTTATAATATAATATAATGGTATAATATTAATGATAAGGCTAATGTTATTATTAGGTGGTGTATTTGTAATTGACCGTTGTAAAATTCCTTTATAAAAGATAAACACAAAAATTAGTGTCATTAATTTTGTTTTTTCTTTTCTTTTTTTTACGCTTATATAGGGATTGTCCAGGAGTTGGCACATCGTCAGGTCCGACCGGTAAGGAAGTTTCCTACCACGCTAGCGTAGGTGGAAGCAGCGTTGGATACAAACCACCTCCGCAGCACAGTCCACAATCGAGAGGTCCGCCACCTCATTTCCCTCAGGAATCCGTTGGGCCAACAACCAACTCTACGCCGCTTCACATCAGTATTTGCGGACAAGTAAATATTTTAAATAGTTGGAAAAATTTTTTTTTGCATTACCTACACACAGCTCGTATCGATAGCGAATTTTGTTAAAAAATGAAAAATGAAAAACAAAATCTAAGTTTTTGTATAGGCACTAAGAACGAACAAATAATTCGATTTATATCTCGAGAAGTTTGTCATGAATCTGACGATACGATTTGTCGTGTACCACGATCGGGTTGCTTTTTCTTATTGGTTGATATTACATCTGACATGAGCGCGTATTACACATTTACACGCGCAAATATAAATTTTTGTAAACAGGCGTCAACAATAAGTATAATAATCTAGTTTTTTTTATTTTTTTTTTTTATTCATCCTTGCTAGCAAAGAAAATATCGGCCAGCTTTTCAAGAATATATATATATAGTTCCGATCTTGATATCACGTTGATCCTTGCTGTTACGTCGTAGGTAATTTTATTTGCTCGTTTTGTTCCAGGAGAATATAATGCGCGGTCCTCTTCCAAATATGAGTCCTGGGCTTGCAGCCAGCGACGTGGACATGGAATATCGTAGAAATTCACAAGGTATAAAGAATATTTTATTTCCAATAGATATAAAAAGATCTTCTTTATTCGATATTAATTTTGATTTTCTCGATAGTTAACTACGAAGTTTCTTGAATCTTAAGTGTAGTACAGAGTATGTATATTTTTTGCAGCCACAAACCAGTTGCCACTGAGTCCTGTACAGATTCAAGCCTCGCCCGCTTATTATAGGCAGCCTAGTCAGGATGATGGTAGAAAGGTGAGAAACTTAGCATTTTAAATTAAAAATGCTTTTCCAATTTTCACCTAAGGTATAATTAAAATTTCCTTCGATAAAGATATTTCGTAAAGAGAGATAATGAAATAATTGTACATGTATATCTATATATATATGTATGTATATATATAAAAAAAAGGATAAGTAGGCCTAATTTAGTCGAATGTTTATTCCAGAGCGAATCACCGTCTAGAAAACGTCGTCGGATATCGAGAAATGGTACGGTTTCTGGAATTGAAGTAAGAGAAACTACACCACCGGCACCAACGCCACCTCTACATACGACCCCACCAACCTGGGAATTTTCATCAGCTTCGCAACGTCGATCTCCACGTAACCACATGTCTACACGCGGTAGTCCTACAATGAGAAATCGGTATCAACGATATACGGATTCCTTTGGTCTTTCCTATCCCTTTATCCCTGGCCATAATCCCCATGCTACGATCCATAATTCGCATCACGGAATTCATAGTTCGCATCACAATATCCACAACTCCCATCATAATCTACACAGCTCGCATCATAATATTCACAATGCGCATCAAACGCATCCTCGACATCCGCCTGGTACAGGACATCATCCTGCGCAAGGTGCTAATGGACCAGTAGTCGTTGATGTGGGTCAAGTCGGTGTGTCTGGTCTTAATGTCGCTGTTAGTGGCGAACCATTGTGGCATCCACAACCAACGAGCTATAGGATTCCTTGTCAGGTGCACGGAATTTATACGCCTGGAGCACATCCATTCGCGCATTCGTGTCAAGTGAGTGAGATAAAAGATTGTTGAATTGTTTATACGTACATATTTATCATAGATATAACTACTGTAGGACTCGTGAAAATATTGAGCCGTTAGTTTGACTAGACAGGGCGGGAGTTGACTGTTCTATCCATTAAAATTATTTTAGAGTAACACGGTCAATTTCTTCACGAATACCTATTTTATTTGGCACGGAGGAAGGTGCTCGATCCCACACTCGACCCCGAATGTTCTTTTTTTTTTTTCCTCTTAGCCGTTTTTCTAATCGTCTTAAATTTCAAAGGTCTCTAATTTTTCCTCGTGTTGTTGCACGCATTTCCAAGCATGTAATCGAAGCTTACCTCCATTTCGAACGAGCCCTAAATTGTAAGATTTGTGACAAAATTAAGCCACTCGGCTGACGACCGGGACCCCCGCGCCCAGAGTCTTCCGTTTTCCGAGCCAATGTTTTATCTATTGAGATATCTAAAGCCCTCGATCACAACTTTCTCACGAATTCCTATTTTATTTGTCGCGAAGGTGCTCGATCCCACATAACGATAAATTTAATTACTTTTATCTATAGGAATAAATAATATTTTCTAGGTCACGCATCATCATAATCATTATTCTGCGGCTCATGCGACTCATTCTGGTCATAGTTTGGTAGGATCCATAGTTGGCGCAACCTCTAGGGGGTATCCAACTCCTGCAGGAGGTCCAGTTGCTGCACTTCATCATGCACATGCACCACCTCCACCCGTCCATACTACTCATTATACGGCCCACCACCAACTATCTCAGCAGGTAATAAAAGAAAGAATATTGCGAAAATATAATAATAATAATTTCTAAGACATTCGCGTAATTTATTATTATATCTTTATTATTTTTTTCTTTCAGAGAGAGGTAGAACTTGAATTAATAGAATCCCACCATCATCACAGAGTTGGAGCTACTGCCGGAGCACCGTTACCATTGCCACATTCGTATTCTCCTCCAGCTCTCACACAAGTAACAACACCGCCTCCGATTTTCTTATCCGAGACGAGAAATAATCAATTGGAAATGATACAGACGAGAACTCGCAGAGCGGTTTCGAATCTTCATGCTGTCAGGCGATCAAGATCGAGTAGATGGAGAGGCACGCCTCCATTACCACCTACGACATATCCAGGATTTTTGTTACATTTCTTGTAAGTTTCAAATTTTGTATTAATTTTTGACATTGCTCAAACCTTTGTCGGTTATAATCAAATATATATATATATATACATACGTACATATATAAAAACAAATTTTAGAGCGATGTTCAGCAATCCACCTTTATCTCCATACAGCCATGCAGATTTGTCCTCGCCAGATTCAGCGACGGAAAATTACGAGGCACTTCTATCTTTGGCTGAAAGACTTGGAGAAGCTAAGCCACGTGGTTTAACGCGTGCCGAGGTTGAACAATTACCTTCCTACAAATTCAATGCAGAAACGCATCAGAGTGATCAAACGAATTGCGTTGTCTGCATGTGTGATTTCGAAGCACTGCAATCGCTTCGTGTTTTGCCGTGCTCGCACGAATTTCATTCTAAATGCATCGACAAGTGGCTTAAAGTGAGTACAAGAATATTAATTATTTTTTAAACAAAATTTCGATTCTATTGAATAATAATAATAATAATAATAATAATAATACAACAATTTGCATTTTTGTTTACAGTCAAACAGAACGTGCCCGATATGTCGTGGTGACGCTGGAGAATATATTTCGTAATAGTGGATAGACAAGTAGCGACTGGCGCCAAGCTGCTGCTCAAATGCGCAATGGCGCCGGATCTTCTTCGTCGTCGTCGGGGACGCTACTTCGTACAGAACCTCCAGCCGTCATGTTGTTGGTTTGTGCAAATTCATGTCCATAAGCATTTCTGCCTTTTCTCCTGTGAAAGTGAATCGTTGATTGTATTCGAACTCCTGAAAATTCTTAGCAGCGTTTTTCGGAGAAGCTAAAAAACCTCGTATCTATCCCCGTTTTGAAAAAAAGAAAAAGAAAAAAAAGAAAAAGGAAAATGGAGAAAAGCGGATGCAACGAAAGATATATATACAGTAAAAGAAATTTGAGAATGTTGGATTCTTGTAATAGAAGGGTACACATCATTTTTGCTTTTCCCTCAGGCGTTAGTAAATTTACAAGTTAAAGAGCGTAATTTAATAATACGTGTTGAATTATGGTTAAAACCTTAAAGGGGATTAAAAAAAAAAGAAAAAAGAAAAACCAGAATGAAAAGGTTTTGCGAGAAAGTTATATATATATAAAAAAAAAAAAACTATGTAGTTTTCATTGACAGAGAAAAAAAAAATTACCTGTCATTCGTTTAATTTTTATTCGAATCGCTTTGATTATGGTTTAACGCTCGTTTGTTAGTTGTGTTGCGCTATTTTATATTAATATATGTTTATGTACATAATATTTGTATACAGAGAAATCAGCACTTTCCATTAACGTTCCATTTTTGTAATAGCTTAAATTTTGATCCTATTCTATAATTGTAAATAATTACATAAACGTCCGTATAAATGTGTGCGTGCGTATAAAAGCCAAGTCTAGGTCTTTGTTTGATAACTTACCAAATGTAGGATAAATTCTTTTGCAATAAAAGGTAAGAGAAACAATTTTGTTCTTAGGCAAAGGAGAAACCGTAACTTCCTATTGTTAATGCTTTCTTGTCTTTGTGTAGGCCGGGTGGTTATTTTTTATTATATAAGGAATGTATGTATCTCTACCCATAGCGACTTTGAGTGCTATAAATTAAAAAGAAGAGAGAGAGAGAGAGAGAGAGAGAAAAAAACAGAACTGTTGAATAGTAAGCACCGATGTGTCACGTAAACTAATTTATAAAAACATATTTAGTGACCTCGTATATCCGATTATAAAACTCATTCCTCTCGCGGTGATTAACAGGCATCCAGTTGTTTTTTCTGTGTTGGTTCGATACAATTTTTGTTAAATGTTTTATGGAATATATATATAGGTCAGCCTAGCCTCGTAGGATGTACAGGTAGATGTAAAGGTATGCATGTAAATTAATCCAACCGCGAGAGATCAAGCAGCAGTAAAGAACAGATCTTTCAACAACAGTTATTCGAAATTGCAAAAGAAATGAGAGTGAAAAAGTATAAGAAATACCGCTTCTGTTTCCTGCGCATCTACCTCTAATAGAAGATGAAACGAATTGATTCATATTTTTTTATACACACATCTCATAAAGAATAAACATACTTATGTAATAAGAAGGAGAAGAAGAAGAAGAAGAAGAGGAAGAAGAAGGAGAAGCAACAAAACGAAAGGTAAAAGAAACTGTAGGGATAAAAGATCGAGTTGGCTGTAATAATTTGGGCATGTTCTATTAAAATTAATACTTCGAGAGATTATTATATTATTATGTATTTCATGAGTTGGCAAATGTTGTTGTAATAATCAATTATAGTGGTTCGGTCGGAAAGAAACTAGGGAAAGTTTGTGTATCCTGAAAGCACTGATGCATTTTGTAAAAAAAAAACCCCCCCACCAAAAAAATAAGAAAAAAGAAAAAATGAAATAAGAAGAGAGAGGAGGAGGGACTTTTGAAAATTTGAATAGAACGTTGCCATAAAAAGAAAACACACGCTTTTAGTTTTGTATATATATATGTATATATATATGTATATGTATATATATCTACATATACAAATATATATCTCAAACGCTTTTTCTATTTATATGTTTCGATACAAAAGTGAATGAGGAGAAGGAGGGTTCCATTTGTATCACGTTTATGATCGTGTATACGTTGTACTTCTTAATTCTTCGAATGTATCGTCGAGTAAAGAAAAAAGAAAAAAAAAAAGAAAAAGAAAAGAACAAAAAAACAGCCGGATAGGCATAATTATTAAAAGCTATTTTTTTTATTCTAAGCAAGCAGTAAACATAATGTAGTACAATGAAAACTTTTATCGAATATTTTTCTTCGTCTCTTTTTCCTTTCTATTATTAAATTTCGAATAAAACTGGCCCGGTAAAAAAAATCGTTTGGAAAAATACATCAGTGAATGAATATATAGTCAGTTATCAGCTAATCGAAAAGGCTTTACAAAATCGCAGGAAAAAATTCCTTTTTTTTTTATATAAAAACGAAACTAAACAGAAAGGGAGAGAGATCAAAGAAATTACATGGGAGTCGAAAAGTTTCTTCTACGAATCGTAAACTAATCCATTCTGAAGATCAACGCATATTTCTACATGGGACATAATATTTTTCAATTGATACAAATATTTCTGCCATTGCTGTAATACTAACTCTCGTGTTAATTTATTATTAGTATTCTTGGTATATATATACCCATTTAATCTATATGAGCGAGCGTACGTCATTTTGAGAAATGAAAACCAATAATAGTTAAACGAAAAAAAAAAAGGAAATAAAAGATGATGATAATAATAAGAAATAATAATAAAAAAAAATAATAAAAAACAAGAAATACGAAAAATACTTAAGAAAACTTTTTGAAATAATCTTACAAAGCGAGATCGCGTATCAGTAATTAATCTTCTTGATCTATCCTTCCACTTCTCATTACGTGCCTTTACTATTAGTGATCAAAAAATACATATATCCAAAAAAATTTGAGACAATGAAAGAGAAACTAGAAAAAAAAGGAAAACAAATAAAATTTAAAAGAACAGTAAAGGGACAGGCATGTTAGAGGAGCGTGTGAAATCATAAACTATTCGCACGAAAGTACGCTTGGAAAAATTACATAAAAAGAAATAAACGAGAGAGAGAGAGAGAGAGAGAGAGAAAACCTGGAAAATCACGAGCATATATGTGTGTATGATGTTTGCGCGTGTGTATGTATGTGTGTGTCAACCTGCGAAGTTGATACGCGGTGGTTAGATTCATTTCATAGATCAGTTCAGATTCATTTTTTAACAAAAGAAGAAGAAAAAAGATTGTTATTATCGCTTGAAACTCATTTCATATATACATACGCGTTTGGTATACTTTAACACAATATCTTGTAAAGTGATTTTCTGCATTTCTTCATGCAACTACTCTGATGCCTGCTGCACACTGTTTGCTACTGTTGTTTTTTTCTGTATACAGTTATTTCTTTTTCTATTTATTTAATGGTTTTTTTCTTCCTTTTTTTTTGTTTTTTTTTTTTTTTGTTTTCCCCTCACGATTTTCATGCTCCTTTTCGCAGGTCGACACACAAAAGTCAAAGGATAAAAAAAAAATAAATGCTTTACTCTCGATACACGTGAGATAACACTACTAAACTCGTCGTACAAGTGAGAATAATCATATGTAAGCAAAAGTATGTGTAAATTAATTTAGAAACATCATTAATTATGGGTATAACACAACTGACACGTTAACGCGTAGATGTACGGTAATCCTATCACTAAAATAAAGACGCAATATCAAAAGGCATATGAGTAAGTGGCGATCAAAAAGCATAAAAAAGGAAAAATTGAAAGTTTTTTAATAGTGGAGGGAATATATGAAAAGATTAAGAAGAAGAAAAAAGAAAAGAAAAGAAAAAAACGGGTTGTCGTTAATTCTTTTTAGGACGCATAAGAACACATATCACATTTTCCATTGCAAATCCACAAGTTTAGCCCTTTTTCTCGTTCCGTCGCTGAAAAGGTTGATACAATTAATAAAGAAAATCCAAAGAAAAGAGATAAATGAAGAAATTCACTCGTGGCTTTCAAAAGTTATATTTCAAACTTACGTAAATATATATTAAATACATATACATACATTTTTTAGACGCTTATGTTTGTTCGCGGATGTATCTACCATCGTGTTTATTAAAATTCTAATTTAAAATAATATATAAAATGAAATGAAATGAAATAAAATAAAATAAAATAATATTCACAAAAGAGAAAATTATTAAAACATTTTGAAATATTTCTACGTGTATTTCAAATTTGTCGAATGTATTTGACTTTTTTTTATTACTAAAAAATTCTTGGCAACTTTTTCTTTCGTTTTATTTCTTTTTTTTTTTTTTTCCCACAAAAAACTTAACATTCATATCATTATATGTATTTATATACAGGTATGTATGTATGTATATACGGGTAGTATTCAGTATCAAAATTCAAACATTCGTCGGTCCTAAATTACTTTCTACAAATATGCGAAAACATTTTTAGTCATGGTGTATCATTAAAAGGGTTAAAAATTTTTCGGATACGACAATTATATACCGTCCGAGATTTCTGTTTTTTTGATGTGATTAGATTTTAAGGATGCATAGTGTTAATTATTATATTTATAATTATTTCGATTTTTGGGGTTGACTGTGACTCAACTTTAGGATTGTTTCTCGTTATAAGAAAATATTTCTTTTTTTTTTTTAATTGTTCATCGTAAAAATAAACGACGTTTATATTATTTCTACTTAAACATTATATATTAAT